TAAAAGCAGGGAGGTTATGTTACAGCTGTATAGGGTGCTGGTGAGGCCACACATGGAGTACTGTGTGCAGTTTTGGTCTCCTTACTTGAGAAAGGATGTACTGGCACTGGAGGGGGTGCAGAGGAAAGTCACTAGGTTGATTCCAGAGTTGAGAAGGTTGGCTTATGAGGAGAGACTGAGTAGACTGGGACTATACTCATTGGAATTTAGAAGAATGAGGTGGGATCTTATAGAAACATATAAAATTATGAAGGCAATAGATAAGACAGAAGCAGGGAGGTTGATTCCACGGGTGAAACTAGAACTAGGAGGCATAGCCTCAAAATAAAGGGGAGAAGACTTAGGACTGAGTTGTGGAGGAACTTCTTCATCCAAAAGGTTGTTAATCTGTGGAATTCCCTGCCCAGTAAAGCAGCTGAGGCTTCCTCATTGAATGTTTTTAAGGCAAAGATAGATTTGTGAACAGTAAAGGAATTAAGGGTTATGGTGAGTGAGTGGGTAAGTGGAGCTGAGTCCATGAAAAGATCAGCCATGATCTTATTGAATGGCAGAGCAGGCTCAATGGGCCGAGTGGCCTCCTCCTGCTCCATATGTTCTTACATTCTTCTGTATAACAATTCTGTAATTCTGCTCCAGCACTAGCTGTTTAGTGTGTCTGTAAGAACAGAAGAGAAGATTCCACAACAAACAGGAGAACATATTTTGCAGAAGTGGGAATCAAAAGGAATTGTTAAATGTGGAGAAGAGTAAAAGCAAAAAAAAATTAAGTTGCCCGTAAGTAACATCTCTCAACAAAAAGCACTTTATAACCAAGAAACCAAGTGTAGCAAATTTTCTGAAGAAGGGTCCCGACCCAAAACGTCAGCTTTCCTGCTCCTCTGATGCTGCCTGGCCTGCTGTGTTCCTCCAGCTCCACACTGTGTTATCTCTGACTCCAGCATCGGCAGTTCTTACCAAGTGTAGTAACTGTTGTGATGTGGGAAACACAGCAACCAACAGCTCCCAAGCACAGCAAAGGGAGAATGACCACATAAGTTGCGTTTTCTTGCCCTAATACAGGGATCATTGTTGCCCACAGCATCAAGGATAGCTCCATTGGTCACCTCAGAGGTCCAGGCAGTTCTTCTTTAACACGATAGTTGCATTCTTGTACGGCCTTCCGATATAGAAAATCACGCCATAGAAAACCGTGTTACAGGGAAATCGCTACAGAAAATCGCTATTGACTGTACAGCAGTTATCCAAACAGCATCCATTATTCATCAGTCGCGTTACAGCCAATTTGCATTAACAAAACACGCGTTATCGCAGAACTACCTGTACACAACAGGGTCTGTACGTAGGAAGGCAGGGGAAGATGGTACCCCTGACAGTATAGCATTTCCCAGGTGGACAGTGGATTGACAGTAGGAAACCAGGAACAAAAACTGTAGGTCAGAAAAATGGAATCTGTGAGACAGCACAGAATGAGCAGCAATGTCACAAAGGAAAACGCGTTAGCCGTCTCACATAAGGACCACAAAACTGGAAATGAACGACATAGCTAGTGGGAACCAGCTATGTACAAACAGCCTACCACATTGCAACAATTTTTCACTTGCTGCAAAGCACCCTTAGGACAGCTCGTCACGAAAGGCCAAATATAGGCACAAGTTCGGTCTTATTCTTTTTATTAGTCTCCCATAATGGCACATCATCTGATCTGTGAGTATTATTTTCACGTTGAATGGATTGCAGATGAGCAACTTCTTCCAGATCCCTGTGAGAATCCAGTACTCATCAAGCTCTCACCCCAAGCCCGAGCCACAAGAAAGGTAGGTGGGGCTGTCAGTGAAAAACCTGCCCTTTACAACAAAGATGATTAATTGAAGCATTTTAGAGTTGCTCAAAATGATGAGGGTAATAGGGAGAGTGAGTTGTAGAGAGTGAGTTGTTGTAGAGAGTGTGTTTTGTGCAGTGAGTTATCGTACAGTGAGTTGTTGAAGAGGATGAGTTGTTGTAGCTGAGTGAGTTGTAGAGAATGAGTTGTTGCAGAAAGTGAGTTTTTATAGTGTGAGTTATTGTGGAGTGAGTTGTTGTAGAGAATGAGTTATACAAACTGAGGTGTTGTAGAGAGTGAGTTATTCTAGAGAATGAGTTGTTGTAGAGAGAGAGTTGTAGAAAGTGAGATGTTATAGAGAGTGAGTTGTTATAGAGAATGAGCTGTTGCAGAGTCAGTTGTTGTAGAGAGAGTTGTAGTAGAGTGATTTGTTGTAGAGTGAGTTGTTGTAGAGTGAGTTGTTGTCGAGTGATTTGTTGTCGAGTGATTTGTTGTCGAGTGATTT